TTGTTAAACGTAAATCACTTTGGGAACGTATTGTTCATGAATTAAAACATTATTATAATGGTTTTAAATTATTATTTATTGAAACAAAAATTGCATTTCGTCTTCTAAGACAAGTTTTAAATGGTCATACATTAACACGACGAGAACGAAAACAAGTAATATAATTTTTAAAAAAATTTAGATTTCAACAAAGAATATTACTTTATCTTAGTTTACACGTACGGCTGCTGATTTATTTCGACTGGTACCATTTTCTGTTTTCGTCATTGTTCCATTTATGGAATTTACATTACCAATATTTTTAAAACTTTTTCCAAATATGTTACCGAGTACATTTCAAGAAGCAGATAAACTAGTAAAGATTTAGTATTTTTGTTTGATGATTTATTCAATATGGCTTTTTATTTTTATTTGTTAATTCTAGCAAGAAAAATTAAAAAAACAATTAAAAGCAAAATTAGAAGTTGCAAAGTTTTTACAAGATACACTTGAAGATACAGCATTAAAATCGAAAAAAAAACGTTCAGATGATACATTAACAACACAATTTGCTGAGTTTATGAATAAGGTATTGTTCATTTGATAAATCTTCAAAAATCTATTCAATAACAATCATATGCAACATAATATTTATTCACGCGAAAATTTTCATACTATCGAATATTAAGATTATTAGCAGTCCGAGTGTTGAATCTATAATTTAAAGTAATCTCCTTGAAGATGTAAAGCTGGGGAAAAAAGTATAACGACAACATAATTCTTTTTCTATAATCTTAAGCAATTAACTTAAACCTAGATATTAGCTTTAATAGCCAATGGAGTTTTCTATCTAATTGATTTTATGTCAAGATTTCATAGATGAATTATGATGGCAAGATTGCCAAATAACTGAAGACGATAGTTTTCAGATTCTCGAAAGCTAGTTTTTAACAATGCTATTTTCAAGAGAACAAAACGAGAAGTCGTTACAGTTTCTAAAACCTTCACTTAAAAACTTAAAAGCATTAAAAAAAAACTGGAATGATGTGTTTGTCGATAAGTTTCAGTTTTGGTACGCTTTTTGATACTTTTAACATGTTAAGGGAAGACCGTAGAAAATGTAGTGACCCCTCATTTTGTATTCCTAACAAAAAATCAAAATTAAGTTGTGGGTTCAACTTTTTTTTATCATCTTATTATTCTGGTAGGCAACATGATCATTTTTTGTATTGTCAATGTTCTCAACTTAATCTAACTCCTATTACAATAGCATATAAAAATTCTACAACATCTGATATTATTCCGGAATTTTGATTGAACATAAAACTAACGATTGTAAATTGTGATCGTATTACATCGACTACAAAAGAAAACATCATCTGTTGCATCTGACAAAGATTCTTTTCAGCAGATAATTGAATTTTATTCCTAGAATAATTAATGTTGATCAATTGTTATTGTTATTCTATTATGTAAATCTGATCTAACGAATGCGCTAGAATAATTGTCGGTGTCATGATCTTTGCCATATTTTCTTTATTTCTCATTTGATCGAGTTATGCTTTATTTTTTTTTTAAAGATTCTCCATTCAATACTCTACGAAACAGTATACTGCATTTAACGAATATAATCTTTTCAATTTTCTAACAATTCATAAAAGTATTGGAACTAGCGATAGCAATTTTTTTACAAAAAATGGCTTTTTTTTTAAAAGTTTCTCACGTTACTATTCAACTATTTGACCAATTTGAGTATTACTTTAACGCCAACAAAGTATTTGTAAAAATGATACTCTATTTAGTCAGCCAGCTGAAAGGTTGTGTGAGAAACTTCAAAGAGAATATTTTTTCCTGGAGAATTGGTATCGCTGACAACAATATGTTCATTAATTGTTAAAAGATGGAAAAGATTATATCTATCAAATGGAATATACCATTTTAAGGAGAATTCAACGAATAATCTTCGTAGGAAAATAGAATAGCTCAGTAGAATGAAAATCCAAGTACAGAAAATATTGTTATTCAAACGTCTGATAGCCTTAGTATTCATTATAAAACACCTCACACTTTTTATTAGTAATCGTTATAAGAAAATCTATCTCAAAATAATCGAAATCTTATTTTTATAAATTTGTAAGTATATGATTCTAAAATTGAAAACAAATCTACTGTTTAATTTAGATTCGTTCAACTGGTGTTCAACCATCAACTGAAGAAATAATGAAATTTTCATCATTATTTGAAAATAAATTAACATTGGATAATCTTGATCGTCCACAATTAGTTGGTTTATGTAAACTTCTTGGTATATCAACAATTGGTCCTGATTATTATCTTCGTTTTACGCTTCATTTAAAATTACGTAATTTAGAAGCTGATGATAAATTAATTGAAGATGAAGGTATTAATAATCTTACTGTTGAAGAATTACAAGCAGCATGTCGTGAACGTGGTATGCGTTCACTTGGTGTTAGTATTGAACGTTTACGTTCACAATTACAACAGTGGCTTGATCTTCATCTTAATAAACGTATACCATCAACTATTTTACTTATATCACGTGCACTGTATTTACCGGAGAGTATTCCACAAGAAGATATACTTAAAGCAGCTATTCAATCATTACCAAAAGCAATTGATAGTGTAACAGCTGTTAAAATAGCTGAAGTTAGTGGTGAACGTGTTGATAATACACAACGTATTGAAGCTATTAAACGTGAAGATGAAGCTATTAGAAAAGAAAAAGAAGAAAAAGCTAAAGATAAAAAATTATCTGAAGATGAAATGAAAAAGAAACAATTAGCTGAACAAGTTGTTGTACCAACAACACCATTAGATGTTCCTAAAGCAGAAATTCTTGTTGATAAAGCACCTATACTTACTGATCAGAAAAAAGAAGACAAAAAAGATGATCAACAAATTGATGTTGGACAATTTGAAACAGCACTTGAACAACTTGTTCATCAAAAAGCACAAGAAGTTAAAACAACAGTTGAAGAAATTAAAGAACTTAAAGTAATTATTTTCGTTTTCATTTTCCTTTTGTGAAACATGAATAATACTTAAAAATGTCAACTCAGAAATTTTGGCAACATTATTAGACTACGTACTAGAATCAATCAAAAATCCCAATTCCAATGAGTTTGATGCGTTTTTCAGTTTTCATACCATCGCTTATTAAATCCAACAGTTCATTGACTTGCTTCCCATTCATTTGTCAAAAGTAGACATTTTCCTAAATTTCTGGTGCAACAATTGATTGATATAGCTGATAATGCATTAGATAAGTGAGAAATTTTGTTCCTAGGTTTGGATGCATGCGTAGCCTTAACCATGGAAACGTTACAGAGTGACATAAGTTGTTGACATATGGCTTCCGACATTATATCAATAACGTCTCAGTATAAATTATGAAATAAATCCCTCATGGCAATAGAAGCAATCGAAACTTCTAAAGTCTCCAAATATTCAAAGATTTTAGAATGTGAATGTGCATGTTACTGAGGAGAAGAGTGGTGAAGTCAGAGAGATGTAGTGGAGTGCTCAGTCCGATCTCCTGACGCGATTTTTCAATCATGTATTGTTTTCCTTCAAAAAACTTGTCAGGCAAGAAGAGAGGCTGAAATTTTTATGGGGTACTGTTCTCTTTGTCTATCCCAAAGCACTGACTTCGCTACTGTTCGGACGTCAACGTAAGCTGAAAATGAATGCTTGAGATTCTTCTTAATCATGAGTATTTGATATCTGAAGCAAAACTTTGTAAATTCAGACGGCATCTGACCAAAACTAACCTGATTGCATCTCAGAAGCTTTGCTCGAAAAACTGAACTTATGTAAACATAATAGAAATTTGGGCGCTTCTAATAGATTTTTCATCTTGATCCTTCTAGAGGAATGGGTTATTTCCTTATTGCATTTCTGAAGGATTAAGTAGAAGGATGGTGAAGAAGCGTCCCTCAAAGAATAAAACAATCTCTCTGTAATTAAGAACAGTAGATATATATCATGTTTCACATATTAATCCTGAAGGCATTACGCTAACGGTGTTTTTTTTTAAACAAAAATCTATTTTATTCTTTTTCCCGTTACTTTATAGGATGATGTTAAAGAATATAAAGAAGATGTTAAAGAACTTGAAACATTGGCTGCAACAAAACAAGTTAAATACTTAAGTGAAACACGTTCTGCTAAGGCACTTTCAAAACGTATTGATAAACTTGTTGGTGATCTTGATCACATTGTTCAATCACTTGATAAAAAACAAGATTCACTTCAAAAAGATATTGAAGTTAGTTTACATGTTTGTTTTATTCTAAAAATTATTTTTCTTGATTTAATTATATTTAGACTCAAGAAGATAAATTAAAAGTTGCAGCAAAAACGGATCAAATTCAAGAGCACAAAGATTTTCTGACAGAAAAAAAGTAAATCTATCTATTGATGTTTTTTTTCATATTGAAGTGTTTTTTTATTTTTCAGAGATATTCTTGTATCAACTCAAGAATTAGTTAATGCTATTCGAGAAATTCAAAAAGTTTCAAATCAATCTACAGATACTCAAGTTTGGGATTTAATCAATCAATTTGATCATAATAAAGATGGTTTCATTGAAGCTGATGAAATATTAAAAGTAAATTTAAAAATTTTTTTGTATGTTTTGTTTTTTTTTCATTTGATTTCTTTTTAGGCACTTGAAATAATTGGAAATGAAAAAGTTAAAATATCGAAAAAACATTTGAAAGAAATAATTGATCTAGTACGAAAAGAACAGATTGTTGAAGAAAAAGAAAGAAAAGAAGAAATGGATGCAAAAGTTAAGCAAGAAACTGCATCGAAACCAACAACAGAAACTAAGAACATTTAAAATTCATTTATTTATATGCTTCAATCTAGCAAAATTCCTCTTTTTTTCTTTTAGTTCAAAATAGAAAGATTTTAAACTAGCATTATGTCTCTTCTTTTTTTCAATCGATGAAATTCAAGAAATCTTTTGTTTTCTAATCAATTCTGCTATTTTATAGATGATTATTAATCAAATAATTCAAGAACTTATTGAAAATATTCAATTAAATGTATTTTATGAACATTTTACAAAAGATGATGAACAAATTGACTCTTATTTATTAAATTATTTAGAAACAGCTCGAAAAATTTTAATTAATGATGAACAATTTCAAAAAGCTAAACCTTATGTAAAAATTGTTTTGGAATATTCATGGGAAAAATTAAATACAGGAATATGGCAAAATGTTAAAGATGCTTGTAGATATTTATATGCTTATGCTTGTTATATTGATGTACTTGTTGATTGTAAAATATTAATAGAAAATAATACACATGATAATTATCAAGTAAATGTATTTGAAAAACTTAATTCTATTTAACATTTTATTTCTTTTTAGTAGGATATTATAAAAAAATGTGATTTAGGTATTTTACTTGGTGGACCCATACTCGAAAAACAATTCAATGATCTTATTTCAATAATTAATCAAAATTTCAAGAATACTCAAGATGAAGAATCTGTAAATTTATCACTTCAATACCTCTTTTTTTCTTTTTATATGATTATGTTTTGTTGATATATTTTTAGAGTACGGATTTTCATTCACCAAAACGAATTCGTCTTGATGATAATAATGAAAATGATAATTTCAACTGGATGCCAAGACCAATTATTGATTTAACAAAAGCAGTTGAACGTATTCATTGTCCATCTATCGAACAATTTCTAACATGCTATATGAAAACAAAAAAACCTGTTATACTCACCGGTTGTATAGATCATTGGCCAGCATTGTCAAAATGGAGGTAAAATCATCTCTTTTCTATATTTATGTAATGTTTTTTTGTTAAATATAGTTTTGATTATTTGATTAAATTGGCTGGTGATCGGACAGTACCAATTGAATTAGGTAGTCGTTATTCGGATGATAATTGGACACAAAAATTAATGACAATTGCAGATTTTGTCAAACAATATTGTCAACGAAGAGTAAGTTGAATAATTTCAATAACTGACAAAATCTTGTGGAGTTCGCATGATGTTTTTCGAAAAAAATTAAATCATTCCTCGAAGCAGAAAATTTCTTCATACTAGAAGCTTCAAGGCTTCTATTGTGTTTCTACAATTTCAGTTTGTTGAGTAAAGCTTCGCAGATACGATTAAAACAGTCCTGATTAGGCGATATCTACATATGAAAAATGTTTCTTCAGACGTGAAATATCCATAATTAAAAATAATCTGTAGAAATTATTTTGATTTTTCATTGATGTCCGGAGTCATAGTTACTATGTGCTCTATAATCGCTACTTTGTTTGGAAACAAGTATTTGAAACACCAGCACAGACTAACAAATTCGTATTTCTTCTGCTGGTAATATCATGATATCGTCTGAATGAATCTTCGCTTCCGTAACACACACGGCCAAGTCAAATTAGTAGCTTCTCACATAATAAAAGGCCCTCTTAAAATTTTTTAATAGAGTGTAGATACGTTTCCCTAGAAACCAAGGACAACAGACGTCGAACTCCTTTGGCAATGGAAAAAGGCGTTGAATGGCATTAACAACAAGAATTAGACTATTCTAGAACACTCGAAAACCTTCCTCAAGATTGTAATGAGTGGAATACGTTTATGAATGTTCTAAATTTTACAATTGTCGATTTTTGTGAAGATAAAAATTTATATTCAAGGTGTCAAGATTTATGGGTAGTCATGTATTGATTTGCCATTGTCATCATATGACCAACATAAAAAAAAAACGTGAAAGAATCAAATGATTACTTTGCCAAATAATCAATATCAGTGTTTCCGAGCTTATCGAAATATATATAATAATACATTTGCCACTGAAGTTAAGAAAAACGGAATACGAAAATGAAACACAACAAATGTATAACAGCAAGACAAACAAAAAATAGAGTGCAAGTAAACAACGAAAAATTTCTTTTCGAAAAATTGAAATAAATAAAACATGTCGTTTTTCTATTGATCGATTATCCTTGAGAAATAACTATAGTTTGCTAGAGATATTTCATTTCACATATTTTGTATTCACATAATAAGACTCAAGAACATATGTGAATTCTACATTTTAGTTCGAAAGAGATTGCACTGGCAAGCTTTGTTTTTAATATTTCTTTTTTCTAGCCTTCACAATGTGGTTATTTAGCACAACATCCTTTACTAGATCAGGTAATAGACAATGAAAAGATACTTTAACATAAAAACATGTTCTATATATCTCTTTTTTTTCTTATAGATCCCAGATTTAAAGAAAGACATTTGTATACCAGACTATTGTTATATTAGTTCCGATGAAAACGAAGATGAAGAAGTTGATCTTAATGCGTATGATTATTTTTGAAAAATTTTGACGATTATTTTTATTTGTTTCTAGATGGATTGGTCCAAAACAAACTATATCACCATTACATAATGATCCAAAACAAAATCTTCTTGCTCAAGTAAAACAACCAAAAACAAATAATATTCATCAGAACAATTCAAATAATATTTATAGGTTGTTGGAGAAAAATATATTCGATTAATTGATCCTATTTATTCATCAAGATTATATGCACTCGGTTCAACGATGTTAAACAACACTAGTTCAGTAATAAAAACAATTTTTTTCTTTGTTTTTAATTATAAATCAAATTATTTGATTTATTTATCTTTTGTCTTAGATTGATGTTGAAAATCCTGATTATGATCGATTTCCTCTTTTCAAGGATGTTCCTTATCTTGAATGTATACTTCAACCAGGCGATATGCTCTATATGCCATCACGTCATTGGCATTATGTTCGTTCTCTTTCAGCTAGTTTTTCTGTTAATTTTTGGTGGACATAAAATATACAATTTTTGGTTATGTGTTTTTTTTTCTTCTTTTAGATGAATTTTACAGAATTATTTAACGTAACATCATATCAATGTTCATTTTCACCTGATGGTCAATATTTAGCATGTGTTAATCAATATCGTTTAATAATACGTACATCAACAACATTAGAAATAATAAATTTATTTGCTTGTATTGATGTAATTGATACGATTGAATGGTCATATGATTCACGTTTTATTTTAGCTGGTTTAATTAAACGTAATGCTGTACAAATATTTTCATTAGATAATCCAGAATGGAAATGTAAAATTGATGAAGGTTCAGCTGGTCTTTGTCAAGTACATTGGGCACCAGATTCTCGACATATATTAACAACAGCACAATTTCATTTACGTATAACTGTGTGGTCATTAACATCAAAAAATGTTTCATATATTAAATATCCAAAAAAAATTTCACCTAAATCTTATATATTTAATTTATCAAAACCATATATGGCATTAGTTGAACGTCGAAATGATAGTACGGATCATATATCAATATTTAATTATTCAACAAATTGGTCGATGATTGCACATTTTCATGTCAATGAATTAGAAGATCTTCAAGGTATTCAATGGTCGCCAAGTGATGATGTTTTATGTTTATGGGAAAATTGTTATGAATATAAAATTGTTTTTTGTAAACTTGATGGACAAATATTAAATATATATAAACCTGAAAATGATCATTTATCATTAGGTGTACGTTGTGCACGATGGTCACCTACTGGACAAGTTATGATTGTTGGAGATTATGAAGAATATATAACTATATTTAGTTATTTAACTTATAAAAAAATTCGAGAACCTTTTCAACATCCACAAAGATTATCATCAAAAAAAGGTTATACAATTTTAAAAGAAGAAGAATATCAGAATGATAATAATGAAGAAACAAATGAGAAAAGGTAAATAAGAAAATTATATTCAAATCTGAACTTTGTTACTTAAAAAATAGAATTTGTCTAAGCTGAAAATCAAATAGATATCGAGTATTCTTTTACAATTCTGACCAAAATTCTAGAACGATCTATTTGAATGATACTTTCTTCAAATATAGAATCGGACCTCCTCGATACTTGTCTAGGTGAAAAGCACAACTTTTTATCAAAATTCATCGGTATTCTTCTGCCTAAAAATATAACACTACCATTATATTTTTGTTATTTGTTAGTCAAACACCTGTTAGTTTTACGTGAAAGTCATAGAGACAGACTGAGCAAGAGCGTAGACAGAAGTGCCTATGCACTCCCCCTTGGGCAAAAACACTTGGATTGGAGGGTGTTCTAACACAACTGTCGGTGATGTGCTGTTTTGATGCTCGTTTTTTGTGTGTTTTATTTCGTTTTGTAAGTTTTTTTCTTCTCCTGTTGCTTGCGCTTTATATTTTGATGTTTTCGTTTTTCATTAGTTACCTTCACTAATTTGTATTTCACTTTTGACTCAGACACATATTCATTCACATCTACTCTCCTGGTTTCATATACTCTACTCTCTCTTTCTGCTTACTAAATATATCATTGAATCTTTTTTTCTCATTCAACGCTGATTTTTTTTCATTCTTGTCATTTACTATCAATATCATTGTGACACCTGGTATCTTTAATAGTTGCGTCTCATACAATATTCAAGACGTCACAGTAGTACAGATAGAAAAAACCTTTTTGCGAAACAAAAAACTATATTTCTATTGGTGTGCACTACCAAAACAAGTAAGATACTCCGTTGGAAACGGATTGTAACAGCAACACTTTTTTGAAACAAAATGAGACGTTTGCTAGTTTTGTGCATCATTTTGTTATAAAGAAACCTACTGTGTCTAAATTTACAAGATGAGAATTTTAAATTGTTTTTTGTATTTTTTTTCGTACAAGCAAATGGCATCAGTTTTAACACCATATGTTTCTCTGTAACACAATGATGTATACAACTAGCAAACGTCTCATTTAAGTATTGTGTACTCAAATCTTTTATTCAAAAATCAGTTTCACCTACTTTTCAAATTTTGCAGCCAAAATGTTGAACGTAAATGATGTTTTCAAGTTATTTAATTTAGATCAATATTATCTCATTTTAGATTCAAATAGAAACTTTTTGCAATCTTTTTTTTTAATGAAAACATTCAGAATCAATATCTTCATCTGAGTGTATAACTTCCTAGAAAAACTAAGATCCATCTGATCTACATATAACAAAAATATGATGGTGTTTCTATATATTTTTAGCCAAATAAAAATCAATGAATTTTAATAAACAGTTCCTTTCTTCTGCTTGGCAATAACATCGAGGAAATTTCATGCCATATTTGAATAAAACACATTCAAATATATGTAATCACATCGACTTTACTTTTTTTTTCCAAAAGTCTAGAATGATCGATAACGAGCAAACAATATCATTCAAACAATTGGTCCTATATCTCTTCAACAAGAATTGTATGCATTCAGAATTGTAACGAATTCTTGTCAATTATAGCTAGTGAAACTAGGGAATTTATAATGATAACATATTTTTCAAATTCATGATAAAATATTGTTAAGTGTTGAAAAAAAACCTAATTACGGATGGAGTTCCAAGATATCAAAACAAGAACACTTTAAAAAGATTCATTATTATGTTCGTTCAAAATCTCGATTGATGTGAAGTCTTTTAATAGATTATCGAAAAGTACTTTAATAAAGTGTTCCTTGATTTTTCAGCCTCTTAAAGAAGCCTAACAAATGTAAAAATATTGGGTGAGAATCAGAATTTTATATTCTTTCTGAACATAACTTGAAATTTTTTGTAGGATTTATGATTTAAGAGTTATAATTTGACCTTTCCGAGACCTGAACATTGACTATGGATGAGTTTCAGGATGCTATCACTTGAGCGAAATTTATTTCAAATATAGTGAATGAAAGAGCAAATGTTTTTATATAAAATGGCATACTAATGATCAGTTTTTTAAAAATCACTTGTCAATAGTGAGTATTTTGATAAGAGACACTGTGTTCTATTCGGCCATTTTTTCGATTTTTATGGAAGACAACCTTGCAAAGTGAATTTGACTATTTCTGAATGATGATTCTGAAACTCTTGATTCTAATATCACTTTGTAGAGAATAATCTTACCTTGAATTATATGCAAAAAAGAAATCGACATTATAATATATGTAGTAAAATCATAACTCCTAAAGCACAAGTTCTCAAGAAGGTTTTAACCTATATTCGAAAATAAAACAAAATTTTAATTCAAACTCAATATTTTCAAATTTCTGCAAGGACTGAACAATGAAAATAGATTTTATTAAATTATTTTTCAATAATAATATTAGAACTTATTTAGTTTGTTAACAACCTATTCATACGTCAAATAAGAAATCAAAGTAGATCTAACATTTAAAATAAATAGAATAGTTCTTTTGTCGATTCTCTAGTATATATGATTTGTTCATTAAATATTTTCTCTTCTATTCTTTATCTCGATGTAAATGACTCATTTTAAATGTATATTTTAGTCAAGGTAAACCTTACTCATCTTCTACTTATTCATCAACACTCTTATCCAATCATGAATCAAAAATTTCAATTGAATCAAAATATATTATATATAATGGTACGCTTCAAATAGATCCAATAAAACCTAATCTTGATCGTGCTAATCCTCGATTAGGTGTATCATCCATTGAATTTTCAAGTTCAGGCCGATATATGTCAACCATTAATGAAACAATGCCAAATATTTTATTTATATTTGATTTTAAACCAACATTTCATTTAGCTTTTGTACTTATTCAAGTCCAACCAATACGATGTATTAAATGGGAACCAAAACGTGATCATTTAGCATTATGCACACATAATAATTGTTTGTATATTTGGTCACCGCAAGGTGCTTCTTGTATTAATTTACCCAGTGAATCGTCCAAACATAAAATAGATGAATTAAAATGGAATAATCATAATTCTATACCTAGTATTGCATTGATTGGACAGAATACCATGTGTCTCGGTTTTATTGATCTTAATAATGATACGTAATATGCGTTCAGATAGATTATATATTTTTCTTTTTTGTGTTTGATAAATATTTATTTATTTTCTAATACATAATTATTTTTCTAGATATGACTGAAAGTCAGATTTTAAAAGACGAAATGAATACAATGGATGATGAATTGAAACAAGAATCTTCAAATGCAGTGATAACAGGAGAAAATATTAGTGAAGAAAATCTTAATGATGAAGAAGAACTTGATTTTTATGATTTTCTTGAAGCCGTTTCGGATAAAATTGATAATATTAAAAATCAAAGTAAAATAATTTGAAAAGAAACAAAAATGAATTTATATATTGAAAATTGTTTGTTTTTTAATAGTTGAAGAACGACGAGAACATCCTCGACAACGTTTACGAAGGACAATAGCTGAACTCGAAGAACAAAAAAGGATACTTAAAAGTCAATTAGAACAACGTATTCATATATGGTCTGAAAACTTTAAAAAACCGAATTTTATTCGAACACGAGATAAAATATCATTCTCAATTGGAGTTGCCAATGCTTGTTTTTCACCGTTGATTGGTATGAAGAACATATCTTCTTGTATAATTTAATAATATTTTTTTTTTTTATTAATTTAGCTGGTCGTTGGCCACATATATTACCTCTTGTTTATACTATTCAAGCTTTATTTCTAATAACACTTCGATTCTTTATTTATAAACGTAAAAGTTGGCATTATTTTGGTAAAATTCAAATAAACTTTTTTTCTTTTAAATATTTTTATTGTTAATTTATTTGCCTTCATTATTTTTAGTGTACGATCTATGTTATTTCGTTAATGTCTTAACATTACTTTATCTATGGGTATTTCCGTCATCAAAAATTCTTTTCACTGTGTGTTATACATTAAGTCATGGTCCATTAGGTATTGCAATAGTTCTTTGGAGAAATTCACTAGTTTTTCATAGTAAGGTTTTTTTTCTATTCATATAAAATAAACTATAATTATATATTTAAAAAAAAAACATAGGTCTCGACAAAGTGACTAGTTTATTTATTCATATGTAAATCTATTTATTTGATATTTACTTAATATTTTCATTTTATTTATAGGTATCCACCATTAACATTATTTACTCTTCGTTGGCTTTTACCACTTGATCTTCAACGTCAATATTATCCAGCTATTGTTCAAATAGGTTCATCTCTACATACAAAAACAGCTGTATTTTATACAGTTGTTTTTTATTTAATATGGCAAGCATTATATTATGCATTCATTGTTTATGGACGTCGAGAGAAAGTTGCACGTGGTTTACGAGCTACATCCTATACATGGTTGTTAGCTGATAAAGATGGTTTTGTTGCACGTCTTATACAAAAATTTGGTTTTGGTGGACCAAATGATGGTATAAATCGATATAAAATTGTATTTTATTTCTTTCTACAATTTGGATATATGCTTCTATCGATTTTACCAGTATGTTTATGGTATTATCGAAATATGTAAGTGAAGAAAGTCTTTTTTATTATTTTGATTTATTCGAAATAGAGTAGTGGACAAAGTTTTACACTTTATCATGTTTCAGCTAACATATATTCTGAAGATCTAAAACTTTTTATGTATACTTATTACATCAAGAATGTAGGTGAGAAGCACAGCTATAATTCTATTATTTGCACGATAAAGAGACTTAGACTAGGTGTTACTGACGAGTATCTACTATTCTTATGAACGTAATGAATCTGAAAAGACAGGGTTTTGTCAATCAACCAATTCCTCATTACATAATGCTACGTTTCGTCTGTCCGCGCTATTAATTTCATTGGATAGTATCAAGCCTTTCTGAAACAGTATCGGCTCGTTTGAAGAAAAACAGTCTACTGACTTTGGAAAGCATAACTCTAGTAACATTTCAATGAAATGAATTCTAAGTTCTCAAGAAGTATTATTAATAGTTAAATGTCATCATGTACAAGTTTCAGAAAAAAATCTTATCATAAAAAGAAATAACATGTCAATAATTCTCAGATCTCCAGGGTGTATGATAGCTAAGATTCGATGAAGCAGAGATTTTTGTCTACTACTATATAATGAAATCTATTGAATTTATTTAAGGTATGTGAATGGAATATTTCTTTGTTCAATATTTGCTGTTAGTGTTTATAATGGAGCTTCTTTTTATATTGGTAAAGTTATTTAAAGACTTTCTTATTTCATATTATTCATATTTTTTTAGATGTTTTCTCACGTCGATATGTTAAAAGTCTTGAATTATTACATGATTGTGATGAAATTGAAACGACTGATGGCATTCCACGCCATTCTATTTCATCTTGTCCATTACGGAAGTCTTCTCAAGTGAATACGAATAGTTCCGAAAATTTTAATGAATTAAACAATAAAAAAAGTTCTTAAATGTATAACGATCTTAAATTTTATTGTATGAGTAAAGTTACCTCTCAAAATATGCTAGGTTGTTTGTTTTTTTTGTTCTTCATTTTAAAGTCAAAAAATAAAATTCATCTAATTCGAAAAAATTTATAAGAAAATTTTATTTACAACAGTTTTTAATTAAGGTTGTCAAGAGTATCTTTTACAAATCAAAAAAAAAGTTTGTACTTATTTTATCTTATATTTCCTAGTAAACTTTTATTTCTTTAGCATTTTGGATAATAGATAAAAGAGTCTGTCAATGTTATGCGTTTATATCTTCAACAATAAACTTAATAAAAGTACATAATTACTACAATGACAAACTTTCATCTTAATTCTGAGAAAGGTTATCTCTTCAAAATTATATCAATAGACATACAATATACCAAGATCAAGACTTTGGATCTTGAATTTTTATCTTAAATGCAGAATTGATTAGCTTACATAAACACAAAATCACACACCATGAAAATGGTTGCATAGAAGCTAACTAATTGATAATAGAAACAAAATTTTTCATCATTTACCAATCTCGTTATATGCCATTTCAATTTTTATTTGATAAGTAATTTTTCATTATTTATGATAATGAATAACACTTACTGATGACATCATATGAAGGGAGATGGTCCAAAAATCGAGAAAGTGATCGGGTAAAATGTGAACACCCTTACTCGATTGAATATCTAGAAAAAAACATAGGAAAAAGATCAGGTCAGAGAAATAAGATTATCCATTGTTCAATTTTCTTCTATTGTATTCAATAAGGATAGAACTCTGTCACCATCGATTTCAATCCAGGAGAGATCAATATACATATTTGTTTCGTTGAAAATGATATTTTTTCGTGACTTTTTTTTTTCTCATTCATACTGACAAATAAATATGTTAGTTAAATCAAAGAACAAATAAACTGATATCAAGTAATAGAAATCAGTCTATTTTCTCTTAGTGTAGAGTGAAAATCGATTTGTTCATATTTAAATATTTTGTATTATTTAAGTACTTTTATTAAATAAAAAAAAACTATTTGACAGGAACTTTACAAATACACGATGATATTGACTTTTTTCTAACGAATATTTTCTCAGAATATTTTTTTGGGGGGAAAAATTTTCATGTTTGAATAACGTCATCAATTTGTTTTATTTAAATAATAATTAATATATTGTTGCACAAGGAAAATAATCTTGTAAAGAATTGGAATGATTTTTTTCTCCGAATAAAAAAATTTTATTTATCTTAGCACAATTAATTCGTGTAACATCTCTTGTAAAATTATGTGTTACTCTTTCTAATGATTTATAATTAATATAAATAAGAATATTATCATGAAAATATGTTTTTGTATTAAATAAAAATTCTTCTATATAATCATCATGAACTTTTTCAATATCAAGTGTAATAAGATAATTATATTTAACAATTGTTGAATTATAATTATCATTTATTAATTCATAAGATTGTTTATGTTTTTGTGATTGATAATTAATTAAAGATAATTTTTCCATAAATGGAAATGATTGAGAAATTTTAATAAAAAATTCATGTTCAAAAGGATATTCATCATATAATGATATAAAACGAACATATTCATATAATCCACCTGGAAAATTATTTGTTATATTTTGATAATATGGCATTTCAGATGGATATGAAAAAACATGACATTGACCCATTTTTTTTTCTAGAAAATAATCAACATAAGATATTATTTTCGTATATCGAAAATCTCTAAATGTTTCTTCAATATCTTTTTTTGATGGTAAATTCATTTGATTATTAATAAACATAAGTGAACGAATATCAAATGTAAACATACTTAATTGTGGTAAATGATTGATAATATTTTTCTTTAAATCATTTCGATCAATAAATTTATCATTAATATAAATTGTAAGATATAAACTAAGTTTTTCTATATTTGACATTCGATAAATAAGTGGCAGAAGTAAGTCTTTATAACGTGATATTTCCCAAGCACATGATAGAACAAAACATTTTAGATTTGAAATTTTTTCCTAGAAAAATAAAATAAAATAAAATAAAATAAATTTTATTTTAAAACTAACTTTATTTTCAATTAAATCTGTTGACAAAACATTGTTAATCAAATCAACAATGAGTGTATGGAGTTGACTAAAACGACCATCGAGAACATAAAGTAACTGTGAGAAATGTTGAATCTTGATATTTAATACCAAAAGACTTGAAGAAGAAAACCTTCGAGATGGAAAATCAAATAATAAAGGAACATAATTTTCATATGATGATTCAGAAAATCTTAAATGTGTTAATTTGTTAAAAATAGAAAAAATACAATTACACATTTTTACTATTGTCAACCAATAATTTTTCTCTTTAGGAGTTGTTATAATGAGTCTTGTTATTTGTTTTTTAAAAATACCACTTGACAGACTTTCATCTAAACATAAATATACAATTAGTCATCAAAATATATATGTGGGCATGGTCAATCATAAGATATTCCAATTTGCTTTATTTGTATTATCAGTTAAAAAACTAACCATATTCAAATTAAATTATTATCTTCATCGCTATATTGCTAAATTCTAAATATTAGTTGTTGATCATTATCTT